GAACACTCACTGTTCAATGCTGAGCACTGAGGAGGCAGCAGTTACTACATCAGCCTGCGTCTGCCCTCAAGGAGGTCACAGTCAGCACAGTAGAACACACACCCGCACATGCACACCTTCCTCTCGTGTCTCAGAAATGTTCACAGATGTCGCTCCTCATAGGGAGGTCCTTGGAGCCAAAGCTTCAGCATCACCCAGGCAGGGGCTTGTCGCAAATGCAAAAAACCACATCAGATTTGCATTTTAACCAGATCTCCCGGTGATTCCTGATCACCTGAACAGTTGAGAAGCACTGCTCTGAGGCTTAACCTCCCTGTGCCTCAGTTTACTTTTCTGTAAAAGGGATAATAACAGAGCCTACTTATGAGGCTGATGCAGTGTGAGGATTAACTGAGATAATGCATGTGAAAGTGCTAAGCACAGCTGACTAAGCATCTGCTTTCAGTGCCATCCTCTTCCTCCTCCTTCCCATTATTAAATTTCAGAGGCTGGAAGGACTTTCAGAGACCAACGTCATTCAATCTTCTCACTCTACAGATGGGGATACTGAGGAACAGAGTGGCAGGGTTTGCTAAAGGAAGGACAGAAGGACTTACCAAGGCCTGCCTTTGGCACAGTCTGCCCAAGGCTGTTTACAGGATGTTCTCAGCAAGCACAGTACGGGGCACTGCCACCCTACCCCCAGCCCTGAGGCTCCCCCTGTCCTTTCCCCCAAGCAGAGCCAAGCCCTCAGGAGCCAGAGAAGGGGTCCTGCCATGTCCCCTATGCTCAAGTGCTCCTCTTCCTGGAAGCTCCCCAGGATTGAGCCCCACGGAGAACTTAATTTGCTGTTCCCATGCTTTACGGGCAGGTGTGCGTGTTATGTCTGTGTGCATGTTTCAGTGCGACTCTGGGTGTGTGTGTCTCCAGGGCCAACTTCTATCTTAGGCACAGGAGGTACAGTGCCTAGGGCCCATCCATGATAAATGTATGTGGCCCACAGAAATGGAGGCAGGTCTATACATTTAAAGGGGCTGCCTGGTTATTTGCTGGGTTAGAGTGTGGTGTTATAACACCAAAGTCAGGGGTTTGGATCCCTGTAGTGGACCGCTGAAAAAAAAAATACATGTTTAAAGTTCAGAGGGACTTTGTTTTATTTTATTTTATTTTATTTTATTTTATTTTATTTTATTTTTAAAGATGACCGGTAAGGGATACATGTTTAAAGTTCAGAGGGACTTTGTTTTATTTTATTTTATTTTATTTTATTTTTAAAGATGACCAGTAAGGGGATCTTAACCCTTGGCTTGATGTTGTCAGCACCACGCTCAGCCAGTGAGCTAACTGGCCATCCCTATATGGGATCCGAACCCGGGGCCTTGGTGTTATCAGCACCGCACTCTCCCGAGTGAGCCATGGGCCGGCCCGGACTTTGTTTTAATAACAAAACAAGCACCTACATTATTCCAGGAGATTCTTGGAATCCTCCCACCAGCCACATGAACTGGGCACTATTCCTGTCCTCCTTTCCCAGGTGAGGAAACTGAGGCTCCAGAGGTCACTCAGCCACTAAGTGGTAAAGCCCAAGCTACCTAGCTGCCGGGTCTGCAGGTGGGGGGTGGTGATAAATGCCCAGTGCCTGCGTGAGTGTGACCATTTCTGTGTGAATTAATTGACATACATAAACTCATTTAATAATAATTCAAAGCACAGGCTTGGGAATCCGATGTCCTTCATGCTTATCCTAGTTCTGCCACTTACTTGCTGTGTGACTCTGGGCAAGCGACTTCACCTCTCTGAGCCTCTATTTTCTTGCTTGTAAAATGATAGTTCTTACCTAATAGGAGCATTGTGAGAATTAAATGTTATTATAAGCACTTGAGAAGAATTAGCTCTTGTTGTTGTGTGGGTGCCTCTGCAGGATGTGTGATTGTAGGCCTGAGTGTATGTGTATGTGTCTGTTGCTGTCTGGATTTCTGGGTGTTGTGTGTGTGAACATATGTGTCCATGTGCACCTGTAGTAAAGGTCTAAGGGTCCCCATGTGCTTTTGGGGCCTATACCTGTTCCATTCTGGCTGTACACCCGAACCCTACATCTCCCTATGTCTCCCTGTGTGTGTATAGACGAGTGTCACATGCATTGGTAACCATGTGATGGTGTGTGTTTCTATATGCAGGTGTGTCTCTGTGGCCATGTGGGTTGCAACTCGTGGGCGAATGTCTGAGTGCCCACATGTCGCCCTGTAGGCCTGAGTTTATGACAGTGGCAGTGCAGATGTATGTGCTGCCTGTGTCAGGATGTAAAGGTCTTTGGGCAGCCAGAGTAGGTGTTCGTGTATCTCCTTTATTCCGTGGAAGAGAAGATGAGGGGCTTGGATGGTCTGGAGAATGAGGGGTCACTCCCTGTCTGATGCAGGGGCCAAGTCACTGCCTACTGGTGGTTGCTGTGTCATCTTCCAGTCCCTGTCCCTCCCTCCTGACTGGTGGCAGAGGGGGTGTGGGAGAATAGGGTAGGAGGTGGGCTTGAGGCTGGGCTTTTTGTCTGGAAACTTCAACCTCCCCTTATCGCCCCTCATGTCCTTCCAGATTTATGCATATCCTTACCTCCTCCCCACTATTAGGGCAGGGAATCCGGACTTTCCTGAGAATTAGGAACCACCCCCTTCTCCTGCTCTGCCTCAGACCTGCTGTATGACCCTGAGCCAGGCCCTCCCTGTCTCTGGGCTTGTGAGATTCAACAATTTTATTTTTTTATTGCTGGCTGGCCGGTTCAGGGATCTGAACCCTTGACCTTGGTGTTAACAAGGCGGTGCTCTAACCAACTGAGCGTTTCTCCCCTGTGCCCAGGGCTAGGCCAGACTGTGCACTGGGAGGGAAGGGGTGGGGTCTCTGAGGTTTGTGAAGTAGCTGGTGACACCCTTCCCAGTGAGTACTTAAGAGTTGGGGGCTGTGGGGTCAGAAACACTCCAGTCAGACTCTTGAATACCACTTGCTAACTGGGCTGACTCAGGTAAGCAGATTTACCCCTCTGTGCTTAGGTTACAATAGCACACACTGTACAACCCACACTGGGATAGGTTTGCAAAGCTTCTAAACACCCAACAAAGGGAAGATACTATTATCACCATTATCATTTAAACAATCCCCAGACGTAGGTTTTCCAAGGAGTTTCAGCCAACCTGGCAGATCTCGGAAATTAGGAGAGAAATTGAAAGAGTAGGAGCTCTGGAATTTGACAATTCTGGGTTTGAATTTCTTGCAATGGAATCTTGGGCAAGTCATTTAATGTCTCCGAGTATCATTTTATGAAAGAAGATTATTTTCCTTTAACGTCTCAAAGTTGTTTAAGGATTACAAATCTTGTATTGAAAAGCTTAGCATAGGAGCCGGTACTTGGTAAGTGCTAAATATATGGCATCAATTATAGATTATTAATTATTCTGGGCTGGCCCGTGGCTCACTTGGGAGAGTGTGGTGCTGATAACACCAAGGCCACAGGTTCGGATCCCATATAGGGATGGCTGGTTTGCTCACTTGGGTGAGCTTGGTGCTGACAACACCAAGCCAAGGGTTGAGATCCCCTTACCGGTCATCTTTAAAAAAAAATAAAAAATTATTCTTCCCCATCTTCCCCCCGCCCCGCGCCACTAATACTAATACATTTTTTCTGTCTCGGGTTAGGATTATAAAATGGGAAGGAGAGGTTACCAACACCATCAGCAGGGAGGCTTCGCCCTAACTTTTATTCTCCATCTCCTCCAAACCCGCATCCCTCCTAAACGCCAAACACGGGAAGCGAGCCGGGGTCCAAGACACACATCCTTTGCCCATCCTTTGGTGGGAAAACTGAAGCTGAAGCTCAGAGATGGAAAACATTTCCCAAGTTCGCACAGCGAGTCAAGACAGAAGCTGGAACGAGCCTCGGGATTCCATCCCACCCCTACTTTCACCTGGAGCATCACAGCCCCTCCAATCCCGCTCGGGACTCAGTTTCCCCGCCTACGTGACTACACCACACTAATCAAGGTCTCCTTTTGAAGATCTGTTCTTCCTCTCCAGTGGCGGCGCTGCACCAGCGGGAGAGTGGGTCGGGGGTAGGGGTCGCCAGAGGTGAGGGGGGACCCACAAGTTGGGGTCTTCCCCGCCTGGGTCAGCGGGAACCTCCCCTGCCTGGTCTAAGCGCCTATTAATACCAGCCCCCGGGGCGGCACGGCACTGCGCAGGCGCGGGCGGGTTCCGCAGGCGCGCGGGGTGCGCGAGCTAGCGAGCGAGGGATTCCCTCTGACGTCATTGCTAGGATACCAAACAAACACTCGGCCGCGCCGGCCGAGCTCCTTATATGGCTAATTGCGTCACAGGAACTCCAGGAAGGCGGGGCCGGGATCCCCTCCCGCCGAGTGGCACGGAACGCAGCCCCTGAGACCCCCGGGGCCACAAGGGTCATGCAGGTGACCAGACTGAGGCTAGGGAAGACCTCTTGCTGGACAGCGCGGGGCTCTGTTCGGCCGGGCAGGAGATTTTGGAAAGTTTGTAGAGAGCCGGGAGGGTGACGTAAGCAGGGGGGCGGGTCCCGGGCAGATAAATACAGGTTGGAGGCTCTGCTTCATTCATAAGACTGAGAGCTACGGCCACGGCGGGGACACGCGGAGCCAGGACTTGGGGACTTGATTGTTGTGGTTCTTCTTCTTCTTGGGGGCTGTGAAATTTGTTTCTTTTTTTCTTTTTTCCGGAGAGAAAGTTTTTGGAAGGATTCTTCTAGATACCTCTTCGTTTTATTTTGGGAAGACTGACTTACTTTTTTCGTCTTATTTGTTACTCCCCTCCCCCAGTGGGACCTGCCGGACGCGCGGAGGAGACATCACCCAAAGCGGATTCTGTACAGCGGAACAGCACTTTCCGCCCTTGGGGGAGCGAGGCCCCCTGCCCCGCCTCGCCGCTGGGTCCTACGGAGTCTGGACTTTCAGGAGGCATAGCGGCATCGGGTCGGGGATTGGACACCGCAGTGAGATTGCACAGAAACTTTGCTATTGTTGGAGTAGGACGCTGCCCGCTCTCCGAGCTTCCCCGGACAGCACACTTTGGGGACGTGCTCGGCTCACCCCGGACTCGCATCTCACTTGCTCCACCCGGCCATAGCCTTGGCTTCCCGGCGACCTCAGCGTGGTCACAGGGGGCCCCCTGTGCCCAGGGAAATGTTTCAGGCTTTCCCCGGAGACTACGACTCCGGCTCCCGGTGCAGCTCCTCACCCTCCGCCGAGTCTCAGTATCTGTCTTCGGTGGACTCCTTCGGCAGTCCACCCACCGCCGCCGCCTCCCAGGTAAGTTCTAAATGGTAGGGGTGCTGCTTTGTACGTCTTACTTTAAAGTCAAGGGTGGAGTGAGCAGTCCCCAACCCCAAATACAGACGCGCCCAAACCCAGGATATGACATAGAATAGGCTTACAGCGCACTTTGCAAACTGCAAAGAGTCGGAAAAGTCAAGGGTGGAGTGAGCAATCCCCAACCCCAAATACAGACGCGCCAAAACCCAGGATATGACATAGAATAGGCTTACAGCGCACTTTGCAAACTGCAAAGAGTCGGAAGATGTTTGCAATTGGTTGTGTGCGTGGAGCGTTGGTAGGGAACGCAGATGGGTAAACTTTGGGGCGGGGATGCGCTGCTCAGTGCAATGTGTGTGCGGTAGCAGGGCCGACCGAGAACTTTTAGCCGGCTCCCGGGACTGTCCCCGGCTCAGGTCCCAACCTGAAGCTAGCGCAGTTATGCAGGTAGGGAAAGTCCCGGGGAAGCTTCCAGTAGCCTCTCCCCTTTCCTCCTCCTTCAGAGCGCCGACTACGGCCCCAGCTCGCCCTCCACCTAGAGGGAATACGGGCCTCGAACCCTTGGCTGCACTGCCTCCGCCTCCTGCGCGGAGACGTAACGGGGGACCCGTGCGTAACGGCTGACGCGCCGGAATCCTCCGTCTGACGCGGGGCACGTACGGCGCCCCCTTCGTCCGCCCCGCCCCTGACGTCCCGGGAGCGTTCTATTTTGGAACGCCGGGGCCACGTTGCTAAGGGAGGGAGCAACCCGGCGTTCCGATTGGTCGCCGCGGCGCAGGCTTTGACCAATCAACTTTCCCTTCCTATTTGTAGGGTACGATTCCCTTCCTCCTCTCTGTCCCCGGAATCCGTGGTTCCTCAGATCTTGGGTCTCTTTTACGGGCCTCTAGAGGCAGAGCGAGGGGATTCCTGTTACGACAAGAGAGACTCTCTGTGACCCACTGGGTCCGCGAGTACCTTACTGGGATCTGGTCTCTCGGCTCTCAAGAGCAAAGGGTGTCTGTTTGTATGCCGGGTTTCTTCGGGAGACATGGTGGCTGTCACCCTCTCCTCGAGGCACACACAGATACATTCCCACTCCCTCTGCTCCGGACGCCCTGTCCCTCCGGTGTGTCCGAGGACAGGACTAGAACCACTACCCAGAGGGGAAGCAGCCAGATCGTCTCCAGAAGCCCCGCCCCCTCTGGGTTCCCAGGACGCTGATTGGCCGGCGAGCCAGCCCTTCCCTCACCACGCCCCCTGGGAGAGTAGTTAAGCCTTCAGAGCAGTTCCAGCATTCCACTGGCGGGCGGGGGGGGATGAGCGCTGCCTGGGCTTGGGGGCTCAAGTCCTACACCATTCCCCCTGCGCGACAATCTGAGGGAGCCCGAGTGGTCATTTTTCTCTATCTGTCCGTTCACCCCAAGCTGTCACGTGTCAGTCTCACTCCGGGTAGAGACATTTACTTAAAATGAGGTTCTAAAACTCCAAGGCCCGTCCCCCAACACTCTTTTAACTGGGACCCCCGCCCCTGCATGGGCTCGCACAGAGGGGTGTGTGTATGTGTGTAAGTGTAGAGGAAGGCTTGGCCTAAGGCCTCTCCCTCTCCCTCCCTTTGCCTCTGGGGTGGGGGTGGGGTGTTGTGGCTGTGTGTGTGGCTGTGGCTCCTTCCCGGGGGTTCTGTCACCCGGCTATGTCCAGCCTCCTCCCCACCCCCCACACCTAAGAGTCACCAACCCGGGGTGTGATTCACCACCCGCTGGAACTGTGCAACCTTTCCCCGAGGAAGAAGGAGGAGGTAGAAGCCAGTTGAGCAGAAATCCTCTCATTAACCACTGCGTCACGGTGTAGTGGAAGGGTGGGTGTTGTGGCTTTTTGCCTGTGACACACACATCCACACCCGCTCGCCCTGTGCTAACTCACAGGGTCGGTGTGTGTTATGTGTGTTGGGTGTGTGTGTGTCGGTGTCTTTGTTTGTGTGTCTACGCCTGTGTGTGTATGTGTCACCCCGTAGGAGTGCGCCGGTCTCGGGGAAATGCCCGGTTCCTTCGTGCCCACGGTCACCGCGATCACAACCAGCCAGGACCTCCAGTGGCTTGTGCAACCCACCCTCATCTCTTCCATGGCCCAGTCCCAGGGGCAGCCACTGGCCTCTCAGCCCCCAGCCATCGACCCCTACGATATGCCAGGAACCAGCTACTCCACACCAGGCATGAGCAGCTACAGCAGTGGCGGAGCTAGTGGAAGTGGCGGGCCTTCCACCAGCGGAACCACCAGTGGACCTGGGCCTGCCCGCCCAGCCAGAGCCCGGCCCAGGAGACCCCGAGAGGAGACGGTGAGTAAGGGGCATCAGAACTTGGCCTGGGGGGTGGGGAGGAAGCAAGAGAGGTAGAACTTTCTTGCTGTTGGGATGGAGGTCTAGTAAGGCCTCCATGCTGTAGCAACCCTATCATCCTTGCTACAGTCAGCAAGGACTAGAGGGTCCTTTTTTGGCTCCTGGGGGTTCTGGGGGCAGAAGAGGTGGGAGATGAATGGAGGAGGTGCACTGTATCCCCAAATCTCATGGCCTTTCTCTTTCCCATTCAGCTTACCCCAGAGGAAGAAGAGAAACGAAGGGTTCGCCGGGAACGGAACAAGCTAGCAGCAGCTAAGTGCAGGAACCGTCGGAGGGAGCTGACTGACCGACTCCAGGCGGTGAGAATGCTCCCTGGGGTGGGACGATGGTATGCCAAGAGGGGCTGTCTCCCCAGTCCCTGTCTCTCCTCCACCTGTGCCCTTATCCTGGCATGAGAACCAGAGGTTCCATATGTGGAACTAGGTGCAGGTATGACCAAACAGGGTAGCCTGTGCACACATGCAGACCCCCACATAGTTATGTCCACTGCTGGTCACCCCCTTCCCTGATTTTTTTTTTTTTTTACCTTTGTTTTGGACCTGGTGTTATCAGCACCACACTAACCAACTGAGCTAACCAGCCAGCCCCTTCCCTGGTTTATGACCCTGTCTCCCCAGTCCCTGTCTCTCCTCCACCTGTGCCCTTATCCTGGCATGAGAACCAGAGGTTCCATATGTGGAACTAGGTGCAGGTATGACCAAACAGGGTAGCCTGTGCACACATGCAGACCCCCACATAGTTATGTCCACTGCTGGTCACCCCCTTCCCTGATTTTTTTTTTTTTTAACCTTTGTTTTGGTGGCTGGCAGGTACAGGGATTAAACGTGGACCAGCCCCTTCCCTGGTTTATGACCCATGCACCACTCTCCTGGCCTTCACTACATCCTGTGGAGAGAAGTGGGGGACTTTTGTAGTACCTTTGTTTTGGACCTGGTGTTATCAGCACCACACTAACCAACTGAGCTAACCAGCCAGCCCCTTCCCTGGTTTATGACCCCATGCACCACTCTCCTGGCCTTCACTACATCCTGTGGAGAGAAGTGGGGGACTTTTGTAGAGGGGAGCTCCAGTCATTTCTCCCATTTTGTCTTGGGCAAGTGGTAACCCATTTTTGCCTCAGTTTCTTTTCAACCCCTCATCAAGTCTCCCTTCTACCTTTAATATTCTGGAGAGTCTGTGAAGCTAAACTATTTTATCCTACATCACTTTCCTCCTCCTGCCCCAGCCACCCACAGTTCTCCAGAATTTGGGCTGATGGCACCCACCAAAGAGCACTTCTTTTCTATGTCCTACCTCAGTCTGAGAGGTCTCTACTTTCTGCCTGCAGTGTGACCTGTTACCTCTGGTATCAGGAAACCAGTGAAATTCTCTGCTTTCCCGCTCTACTTGATCTTTTCCCTGGGAGGTAGAGGAGGAGGAGTCACAGTGGGGAACACATTAAAAACACATAACAATTGTTACCTCTGAGTGCCTCCTGCTCACCAGAGACTTCCATGTGCACCTGGTTCCTTTGCAACCATCCATTGGACAGATGGGGAAACTGAGGGTCTTGCTTTCTAGGTCTTCTGGGTCTTGTCCCAAGTCCCATAGCATATCAGGACTCTACCTCCGGGGGTGTTTCCGCTCAGTTGGGAGCTGCCTTCCAGTCCCGGGCCTCGGCAGGAAGTCTAGGGGAGGCATGACCCACCTTTGATAGTCACTGATGGCTTTTCTCCTTCCTCCCGGACCTCAGGAGACAGATCAGTTGGAGGAAGAAAAGGCAGAGCTGGAGTCGGAGATCGCCGAGCTCCAAAAGGAAAAGGAACGTCTGGAGTTTGTGCTGGTGGCCCACAAACCGGGCTGCAAGATCCCCTACGAAGAGGGGCCCGGGCCAGGCCCGTTGGCGGAGGTGAGAGATTTGCCGGGGTCAGCATCCGCTAAGGAAGATGGTTTCAGCTGGCTGCTGCCGCCCCCGCCACCACCGCCCCTGCCCTTCCAGACCAGCCAAGACGCACCCCCCAACCTGACAGCTTCTCTCTTTACACACAGTGAAGTTCAAGTCCTCGGCGACCCCTTCCCCGTTGTTAACCCTTCGTACACTTCCTCGTTTGTCCTCACCTGCCCGGAGGTCTCCGCGTTCGCCGGCGCCCAACGCACCAGCGGCAGTGACCAGCCTTCCGACCCCCTGAACTCGCCCTCCCTTCTTGCTCTGTGAACTCTTTAGACACACAAAACAAACAAACACACAAGGGAGAGAGATTTGGAAGAGGAGGAGGAGAGAGGGGAAGAGACAAAGTGGGTGTGTGGCCTCTCTGGCTCTTCTGTCTGACCCTCTGCCGCCACTGCCATCGGACAGGAGGACCTTCTTGTGTTTTGTGCAACCTCTTGTTTCTGTGCCCCGGCGAGGCCGGAGAGCGGGTGACTTTGGGGGCAGGGGTGGGGAGGGGATGGACGCCCCCAGCTTCCTGTTTGTCCTCTCACCTCAACCCAGCCTCTGGGGGTGGGGAGGTGGGAGGTGACGCCCACCTTTGGGCAGTTCTGTGTGAGGCTAGAGGGAAAGGGTGTGGGCGGTGGGCTGTGGGGCGGCTATGGGGTGGGCTGGAGTTCTCTGCAGAGAGGTCCAACAAGGAAATGCCACCCGTCCCCCCACTGTCCCCCACACCCACCCTTCAGGAGTATGACTAGGCTGGTTCCCCCTGCACTCCGACCTTAGTTTATTTATCTCGCATTTCCATGGGATTAGATTCTCTGGGCAGAATTGAGCCCCCTTAGGGGGAAGCTGATGTCCCCTATGATAATCCCCTTCCCCCCCACCCAGACTTATTCTGAAATGTGAATTTCCTTCCCTGATCGTCCAGCCACTCCCTCCCAGAAAAACTAGCTCTGATTTGAATTTCTCACCTCCTAAGGATCCCTCGGGTTCAGCCCCCAGCCCTCCCTTGGGATTGCAGTATTATTCCAAGCCCCCCGCCCCACCTTCCAGCCTCCCCTCCTGGCCTTCCTCGTTGGGCCTTTCTGATGTCAGGCGGCAGGGGGCGCTGTGACGCTTGTCCTGCTGGAGTGTTTATACTGTGAAATGAGTTGGTCGGACGGTGGGGTGGAGCCGGGTGGGACAGAGCCCTTCCCGAGGGATTGTGTCCCCACGCCCCAAAGCCTTTCCTTGGTCTGCCCTCCCACCTCCTCACCTGCCTTCTTCCTCCCCTCAACAGTGAGTTAGACTCGAGGGAGTGACGAATCCAGAGGAGGGTGACAATTACCCACCCGCGTGGCCTCTCTCTCTCTCCTCAGGACCCCCAGCCCCAAACCTGGGCCTTTTTTCTTTAAGGCTCGTCACCCTTCCCCAGCCTAGGACGCCAACTTCTCCCTCCCCTTGTCACCCCACGTCCTCTCTAGAAAGGGAACGAGGGGGGTCGACATTTTTCTGGAGAAGATTGAAGGGCTGAGGCTTTGTCCCTCCCAACTCCCAATATTTTTGGACTGACAAACTCGAAGGGGCTGAGTTCCCACGATCCCAGCTTCCCATCTCCCAACCCCAGCCCCGAATCTCCCACCCCACCTTTCCCTGTGCTTCTCCTCATGAGCATTTTATCATGAGGCAAATTTATATTTTTTAATATCAGGGGTGAGCCACGCCGCCCTCTGTGCTGCATGGAAAACATTCCACGTGCCCTGTCCTGCGTCTCCTGCCCTGAACCCAGACCCCTCCCATAGCTATTTATCCCTTCCTGGTTTCCGAAAGGCACTTATATCTATTATGTATAAATAAATATATTATATATGGGTGTGTGTGCGCGCGTGTGAGTACGTGAGTGCTTCTGCAACCTCAGCCTAGGTCACGTTGGCCCTAAAAGCGTGCCCTTGAATTGAAAACATTGCTTCTGGAAGCTTTGAATCAGCCTGTCTCTGGCTGTCTCTGTTCTGATTGTCTCAGCCCCTCTGGTTGTTTCTGACAGTCTCTGGCTGTCTCTTTCCTGAATGTCTCTCTCTGTCTGTCTTTTCTCTGCCTGTTTTTACCTGACCATTTCCACCTGTCCCCTTTCTGGCTGTCTCTGATCCTCCAGCTGTCTTCTGACTCTGGGCTTGTTGGGGACATGAGATTTTATTTTTGTGAGTGAGCCTGAGAGATCATAGACTTTTACAATCTGTATCTTTGAGAATTCTGGGTGTAAGTGTGAGTCCATGAGCAGGGCCTGCCCCTGCCAACCACAATTTATTGAATCCCCAACACCCCGCACCCCCCACCCTATGCTGTATTTGTGGTTCTCTTTTTGTATTTTGCACCTAACCCCGGGGGGGGGGAAGGGGGACTGGGGTAGACTGGCACTGGGTCGCTCCCTCCCCCCCTTGGTTCTGCACTGTCGCCAATAAAAAGCCTTTTAAAATGCATCCACCAGGCTGCAGTGTCTGTTTTCTCCCAACACCCGTTACCTGGCTTCCTTTCAGCAAGAGGGAGTGAGGTTAGATTGCTGGTGGAACTACACACACACACACACACACACACGCACAGGAACTCCTACTAGCGAATCAACCTACAGTAGGATGGAAAGAAGCTAGACAGTCAGGGGGACTTTCCATACACATAGCCACTTCTTCCTAATAGAAAAAAGTAAGGAGGCATACCATTAGCCGTTAGGTTTACTATGGAGGATTACTGGTGATGGGGAAACTGATGCTGGACCTTGTATACTCAGTGGATTGAGCAGAAGTTAAACCTTCATAAATGGTACTTAAGAGTGGTTTAAGAATCTGCCCAACAAACTACTAAAGACCACTTAAGTAGTAAGCACTGAGTTTACAGGGTTATATGAACTGCAGAAACTGGGATTACTTTACACTAAAGATGTGTTTCCTTTGGTTTTTCTTGTGACAACTTCTTTTGGGCTATAGACATATTGGAACTCACCCAAGACTGACCAGAAATATTGCCACTTTAATCTGTTCAAAGATCCAGTGAAGTCATCCCTGTTGCAAAATCCAAGCCCTCTCTTATTTGCATAGCAGCAGGCACTCTGGGAATTGAAGTGATGGTCCAGAGGTCACTCAGATGTCTTTAGTAAATGAATAAGCAAGGGAAGTTGTCATGGTGAAATCGATTAATTTATTAATTAATTCAAAATGTGCTAAGCATCTACCTTGTGCCCAGCTCTGCGCTGGGCAGTGTTGGGGACACTGCGGAGACTGAGCCTTGAGCACTGGACAGGGTTGGGGGAGCCCAGCAGGTGTCCCCAACCTGTACTGGGAGTCATGAAAGACTTCCTGGAGGAGAAGACAGCTTGAGACCTAGAGGAAGAATAGAGAGTACAGAAGGGAATAGAAGGCAGAGGATAGCAAGTGCAGACCCGTTGGTGGAGAAAGGGCTTGAAACATTTACTGCAAGAGGTAGAGGTGCATGGTGACTGGAGCAAAAGGTGTGGAGAGAAAGGTTAGCAGAGACAGATTCTGCAGGCGATTAAATTTCCTTGAGGGCACTAGAGAGCCATGGCAGGTTTGGGGCACAAGAGAGGCAGGGGTGGGTTTATGCTCTAGTAAGAACCCTTCTAGCCACCAGACCGAGGGTGGTTGGGAGGGAGAGGAGCAGGACTGGGGCAGGAGATGAGGGAGTAGGCTGGGGTGAAGGCTCAAGGGTGTGAAGAGGGGCCTGGAACAGGGTTAGGGCTGTGGGATCTAGCCACCAGACCGAGGGTGGTTGGGAGGGAGAGGAGCAGGACTGGGGCAGGAGATGAGGGAGGAGGCTGGGGTGAAGGCTCAAGGGTGTGAAGAGGGGCCTGGAACAGGGTTAGGGCTGTGGGATAGAGAAGAGGAGAAAGATTCAAGAGACATTTAGGAGGCAGAACAGATGGGACTTGGTGAGTAGCTAGCTTGGGGAGGACGATACAAGGCAGCAGTACATAGCATGGGCCGGGTGCTCTGAGATCCCTGGGACTGGAGGAATACCAAAGGTGGATGACTTTGGACAAGATACTTCAACTGCCTGACCCTCAGATTCCTCATCTGCAGAACTGGGTAGTTGTGAGGAGTCAGTGAGCTGAGCATGCCAGGGCTCAGTGCGGAGTGAGGGTGCAGTTATTACCGTCCTCATCCGCCACTATTGGGGCCATCCTGATCCCCAGCCTGGAATATCCCCCGCTTCTGCTAGCTTATCCCCTCTCATCCTTTAAGGGTCTGCTTGACTGTTACCCTGATACCCCACCAGGTCAGGTCTCCGTATTAGGTGGCCTCATATGTTCTGTACTACTTTTGCTTGCCAGCAATGATCACCTCTGTAGTCGTTAATTAAATGTGTAATCACATAATGGTTTAAGGTTTGTCTTCCCCACCAGGGCCAGGATTGTCATCACTGTTTCCCCAGCACTGTCCAGTGAGGGGACCGGCTCCGAGCAACCACTCAGCAAATACTTGTTGAATGAGTAAATGAAAGAATGAACAAATGAGTAAATATTAAACTGATTAATAAGTGCATGCGTGATTAAAGAAATGAGTGAGCAAATGACTTTATGAGTAAGCAAGTGAAGGGAAGAAGTCAAGATAATTCCCAAACTGTACATATCCTAGAGTTGTGTAGATGAGTTTTTCTTCATCTTTCTGAGTTGTGTTTTAATATTCCTGGGGGAAAATGTAACTACGGGCACGGACGAAAAACTGCGACGTGAGGACCGCAGGGACCTCTCCAGGTGCAGGCCGGAGGAGCGTCTCCGTGCACAACCAGCGCGGGAACGTTGTCGGATGAAAAAGTGGAACGGCCGCCCGAAAGGTGGAATTGAACCACTCTGTCGCTAGACAGCTACAGGTTTGAAGCCTGCACCCCAGACCACTGAGGATCATCCGGGCGGAGTCCCTCCTCCCCGAGAAGCTATATAAAGCTCATAAATCCTTAACTTTTAGACTCATGGTGATTTGTGGAGAGTGTAGTTCGGAAGGCTATGAAATAGTTACTTTGAATAGTTGTAATTTTCCTATCTCTTTCTTAGATAGATTTCTTCCAAAATGTTGTCTCTGCCCTATATAACGTGAGTCATCCTCGCGCAGGACCTCGGAAGGCTATGAAATAGTTACTTTGAATAGTTGTAATTTTCCTATCTCTTTCTTACGATAGATTTCTTCCAAAATGTTGTCTCTGCCCTATATAACGTGAGTCATCCTCGCGCAGGACATTGCTCATTTAAATGGCGCTGAGCATTCTGGGAAGGGGCGCCTACGGACCTGGCTGCCTGTTAAAGGGCGAAGAGACCCTTTTTCCAAAGTGAAAAGTCAGTGTTTTAAGAGGAGATACTCAGAGTTCAGCATTCAGAAGTCCCTTCCTGGAAAAATACGAATTCTACTCCTGCGGAGGAGTGGGCTTCTGTCAGAGTCTGACTTGTCCCGGCCCCGGAGCCTCTGGGCTGGCAGCTATGAGGCTGGTGCGACACCTGCTGTTCTTCTGTGGAACTGCGGGGACCTACGGAGTCCTGTGTTCGTTCAATGTTTATCGAACGTCCACTGAGTCCCAGGCACTGTCCTACATGCTGGGGATGAAACACATCCTGTCCCCATCGAGTTTAGATGTTAGACACCATCAGTTTCTGCAACTGCGTTTTATGATTGGGGAAACCGAAGCTCAGAAAGGGGTAGTACCATACCCCAGTTCACACGGTCCATCCAACCTGTGCCGTCGTAATTATTGTTACAAGAAGGGTGACCCTTTTATAACCTAAGTTAGTGATCTCTTGATAACAATATTTTCCCGCATGAAGCTCTTCCATGACTTCCATCTTAGAGTAAAAGTCAAAGTTCTCACCCCAGTTTACAAATCTCTATAATAGCACCTTTCACACCTCTGACGCTGTCTGCTAGCCACTTCCCTCACATACCTGGCTTCGGGCATACAGGGGTCTTGCTGCACACATCAGGCATGTTACCTCCTAAGGACCTTTGCATTTGGTGATCCTGCAGCCTGGATCTCCTTTCTTCCACATGTTCACATGGCTCACTGCCTCCCTTCACTCTGGCCTCTGTTCAAACATCGCCACTCAGTGAGGCCTTCCCGAATGACTCAATTTAAAATAGAAAGCCCTGTCACTGTGTCCACTTACGCTGCTGGACTTTTCTCCATCATCCTCATCACCACCTGCCATATTCTACGTCTATTTGCTTATTGTCTGTCTGCTCCCACTAGAATATCAGCTCCACGAAGACCTAGACCCTGGGCTTCCCAGCACAGAGGGTGTCATCTTGAAGACAGAGTGGGTCACCAAGAACATTCAGGAATTCTTACGGGTGGCCCAGGAGTTCAAGCATGACAGATTTGTGACCTGCTCAGAGAAGATCCATGTGGTTGTGACCAAGACGCCTCTCTCTTCCCAAAGAGGCCAGCCTTGGAGCTCATGCAAAGTTGACTGCAGCTGTTCAATGTCAGCCCCTACCAGCTGCAGAGCAAGTGCTTGAAGACCATGCCCTTGGAGCCTAGTACCCCCGTGGACTTCTAGCTGCTAACTCAGCAGGTGATCCAGTGCATCTATGATATTCCCAATACTGCCAAGCAGCTGGTCACCATCACTGCCTGAGAAAAGAAGCAGTGACCACTCTCCCTATACCCTCACCTGCACCCTGGGATCTTATAGGCCATGGGGCTGGGCCACCCCAGACACTAATCCTCACCCCAACAGAGCCACTGGCACAAGTGCCCTTAGTTCTGTCTCTCTCCCCTGGCAGCCAGGAGCCACAGTACCCATCCCCCTTGAGCCCCGAGGGATGGGGAGGTAGGGTGGCAGGAGTTTCTGTCTCCCGCATTCCATGTACCTCCCCCTGTACATAGCACCCCCTCCCTTCTAGTGTGCAGGGGCCTGCAAGCCATCACCCCCAGCTGGGCTGGCCAGTTAGCTCAGATGGATTCCTCTACCAGCCAGTGGCCAAAAAAAAAGGCATCACTCCCAGCCCCTTGCCCACTGGAGCACCTTCAGCAAAGGGTCAGTCAGGACACTCCAAGTGGGGAAGCTCCCCCTACATGCGCCCCACCCCCATGAGCCAGCTCAGCCTTATGTGGGGGTGCTGAGTGGGGGCATCCCCCTCCTTTGTACTTAATCTCTGTGGATGTCCCCACCCTGTAGCCACCAGCCTTCTTGCTGCTCTTTCCTTTAATGGCAAAGGGCCCCTGCCTAGGGCACAGAGCCCAACCTGTGTGCCGGGGTCCCCAGCAGCAAGCACTGTTATAACTTGTTTTCTCTCTCTTCTCCCCACCTCTTAATTTTAACCTTGTGGTAACTGAGTGTCCCTGCGTGCCTGCATGTGAGTGTGCGGGCAGCAATGACGTTCCGGAGGCCTGGTCCATCTGGAGTTTTGAAGGGTGAGGGGACCAGAGCAGTGGGAACAGCGTTGGGGGTCAGCCTCCCTCCCCCACCTGGGGCCCTGGACTGCTGAGGTAACCAGCCGTGATCCTGCCCGCTGCTTCTCCTCATCGCTGCCCCCACTTCTCTATGAACTTGAAACGAGAACCACTTCCCTCCATCTGTCCTCCCTTCCCTTGTGCAGGGCTAATGTGTTCCAGCTGGGGTGAGGACTGAGCACCTGAGCTTGGGGGCTGGCTCCCCAGGGTCCCCAACTCAGCTGGTGGCTGTAGAGCTGAGAGTTCCCTCCCAGTAACCTCTGCAAGGCCAGCATCCCCCCCACCACCACTTCATGCATCTGCTATGGCCCCAACCTCTGAAGGCCTGGGAGCCTCGCTGCAGCCTGGGAAGGCTGGAGAGGCAGACCACAGCACCTACGCACTGGCCCTTGTCCCCGTTCCACCTCTCCCCCAGGGGGCCAGGCCCTACCTGTGTGGTGGTGTGTGTGCTGACTGACAGGTCATGTGTCAGGTACATTGGTATCAAAAATAAATAAGTGACCATGAAAAAAAAAAAAGAGTATCAGCTCCATGAACCTATGGACTTTGTTTTTCTCATTGTTGTATCCCTAGTGCCTAAAATGTGCTTTCAGCATGGAGCAGATGTTCAGTAAATGTTTGTGGGGTGAATGAAAGAATATGATCACCATTTTCCCCTGAGCCTCAGTTTCCCCATCTGTATAACAGGACTAGTACACTAATCTTACTGGAGTAAGTGAGAGGTGCTCAGTAAAGGCTCTTTCAATCTTCGACCTGTTTCCTGCTTCCAGTGGGGGTGCCAGTGATGGGCTTGGGGGCTTTACTCATTCCTGGACCCATGATCTCAGCCGGTCCCTCTTCCCCAACTCTTTGATAGAGACAAATGGGTACTTGGTCTCATAAAAAGTGTAAATAAAGGCATCTACAGAAAAATTTGCTATTTTTTAAATTATATTTACTTCTTTTTCATTCATGTGGTAAAACCTATATATTAGGATTGCCATTTTAAGCTTTTTTTTTTTGCGGCTGGCTGGTATGGGGATTGGAACCTGTGACCTTGGTGTTATTTAAGCATTTTTAAGCATAAAATTGCGTGGAATGAATTACATTCACAATGCTGTGTGACCGCAACCTCTATTTATTTCCAAAGCGGCTGGCTGGTATGGGGATTGGAACCTGTGACCTTGGTGTTATTTAAGCATTTTTAAGCATACAATTGCGTGGAATGAATTACATTCACAATGCTGTGTGACCGCAACCTCTATTTATTTCCAAAACTTTTTTTTTTTTAAGATGACCAGTAAGGGAATCTTAACCCTTGGCTTGGTGTTGTCAGCACCACGCTCAGCCAGTGAGCCAACCGGCCATCCCTATATAGGATCCGAACCCGTGGCCTTGGTGTTATCAGCACCGCACTCTCCCAAGTGAGCCACGGGGCTGGCCTTTTTTTTTTTTTTTTTAAATTTGCAAATTTAAAATATTGTTCCTGCTTGGCAAATCCATATTCAAGATAAGTCCCCTAAGCCCTCTCTGTTTTAATTAGCTGCTGCTAGGCACCCCCTGTATACAAATTCTGCAGCTGTAACTACTACTTGGAACATCGTTATCTGTCTCTGAAAATGTGACATGTGTCACTAGGGGCAAGTGAGATTTTAAGTGGTACACCAACAAACATTTTAAATGTTTATTTTTTTGTTTTTACTTATACTGTTACCTTCTGTTTCTGGCGAGCAATACTGGCGTCCTTTCAAAGTGGTGAAGTAACATTTCTTTTTAAAAGACATTTGCTTTGTTTTTTTTAAATAAACCAATTTAAAGAAAAATATTAGGTAAATAGCAGAAGGTGTGATATAACGATCATGAAGGTTGTGAGGGAATGACTGAGATTTGGGAAATGTCAGAACTAACAATAGCAGCTTCTGTTTACTAAGCATTTATTATATGCCAAGCTTCATGCCAAGAGCTTTACATGTGGGTATAGTTATGGTGACAGTTTTCCATTTCAGTAAACTGAGGCTTTGAGAGGTGAAGTCACTTGCTCAAGGTCTCACAGCCGCTTCATGCCAAGAGCTTTACATGTGGGTATAGTTATGGTGACAATTTTCCATTTCAGTAAACTGAGGCTTTGAGAGGTGAAGTCACTTGCTCAAGGTCTCACAGCCAAGAGGTAGTGAAGGCAGGACTTAAACACAGGCCTGTGGATCTGTCTCCAGTCTCCCCTCTACCTCCTCCTCCTCCTCAGTTAACAGCTTTGGAAACTGAGGCCCAGAGAGGCCGTGAGGTCCTGTACGTGGTCCCAAGGCAGTTGGGGTGGACAGAAGTGGGCAGATGGGAGACATCTGGGAGGTAGTATACACATAGCTTCATGACTGATTAGATGTGGGAAGTGAGGAAGAAGGAGCCCAAGGTCATACCCGGGTGTCTGGCCTGGTGACAACGTGGGCAGTGGGGACGTCCCTGGATTGGAAATCAGATAGAATGAGGAAAAGTTTCGGATATGTTTGGCGGTGGAGGGAGTGGGGCACGGGGCAGTTTTGCAGAAGTCCCTGGACACCTGGGTCTAGGGCTCAGGTGAGATAGCTGCTCAGTGCGCAGAGTGTCTTGAGCCGAGGCTTGGCTAGCCCCGGAATGAGTGATCTCTCAGCGTCTTCCCCTCAATCATTTCATACTCTAAACACATGCTAGAAGGGTCTTCCGCAGAGATGGGGAAAGTTCTCCTGGAGTATCACTTAAGCGCTTTTCAGTGCAGGAAGGTGAAAGCTGGAGGGCGCCGGAAGCACAGGAGGCCTTGGGTTTTCCACAAGAGTCTTTATTACAGTGTAAATCCAAGCTCAGGCCTCGCCTGGGCCCCATGCAAAGCCCAGGCGTTGGGGCTAGTGGCGTCCAGGAGACGCCACCCCCTCACGGCGCCTCCAGCGGCGGGGTCACGGAAGTGCAGGGCGGTGCCCTGCCTAGTCAACTACAAGTCCTAGAAGGCCCTGCGGCCAAGGTGCCTCGCCTTTCCGGGACTCCTAGAGCAGTGCCTCTTGGGAAATGTAGTCCTGGCCGCTCAGGCAATTGGCGCAGATTCCCTGGTCTGAGCGATCCTGACACCCACCGGGGAATGACGGGCCGAGGCGGGGAGAGGATGGGGATGGATGGGAGATGGAGAGGGGCCAGAGGGCTGCAACGGGTGGGGGCAGGCGTTCCGCAGGCAGAGACACCCCTCTCATTCGGCTTTGGCTTTGGATCCAGACACTGCAGCTGCTGCTGAGGCAAGGGCTCCTGTCCCTGGGATCTTAGCTCGGATCCTGAGGGAGAAACGGGTGGGGTCACAAGGTGGGGCAAGAGACCGGGTGGGCATCTGGGAACTAAGAGGAAAGCTGGATGGGGGAACTAGCTAAGAGCCCAAGTCCCTACCCTCCACATAATGGCCTGTGTTGGAATTGTCTCTCACCCTTCTCAGAGAAGGGGGAATTCAGTCCCAGGGGACTTGGGGACAGGAAGCATAGAAAGAAAAAGTTCCCAAGCTCCCCCTTCCCCCTCCCTGTGCCCTTACTTAGCTTTGACGTGGCTCAGTTGACTGTTCACCAACCCCACATACTGGTCGATCTGGGCCTGGAGAGACCAAGAAGGGGTAAAAGAGGGATTGCAGGGGGTTCTTTGCCTTGGTTGGGGGGAGTGGCTCACCACCCCACCTTCAACTCTAAACCTAATAACGTACCCTTGGAAGTTAGTGGTTCAAGTTGTAGGGTCAGTCTGTTGGGCCCCCCTGTGTGTGGGGAGTGATGTGAGGTAGACAACATGAGTGAGGGCCGGCCCGTGGCTCACTCGGGAGAGTGCGGTGCCGATAACACCAAGGCCACGGGTTTGGATCCCATATAGGGCCGGCCCGTGGCTCACTCGGGAGAGTGCGGTGCTGATAACACCAAGGCCATGGGTTTGGATCCCATATAGGGCCGGCCCGTGGCTCACTCGGGAGAGGGCGGTGCCGATAACACCAAGGCCACGGGTTGTGTCTGAGGCAGGGTGACAGTAGAGGGTATTGGTGTTGGTCCACAAGTCCCCGAGTGGGTTAATTTAAATACTACTTTATTCTCTCTTTTTTCTTTTTCTTTTTTTTAAATACTAGTTTAATTTATAGTGTTAGTTGACTTTGTGAGTCTCGATGATTTGGCCTGTGAGGGAGTTAATTAGGACTATATCTCTGGCAGGGAGTGTATCATTTGACTCTCAGCTGGCTGCAGAGGGAGTGTCAGTCTGTCTGCCTGTCCCTGGATAGGCTGGATGTCAATCGATCCTGGTTATGTTAGTGTTCTGGGCAACAGCCATCCCACCAATTGTCAGGCATAAGAGTCAGTCCCTGGCTGTTTCAGGGAGTAAGGGCATCAGCAGGTAGACAGCATGAGTGAGGGCCGGCCCGTGGCTCACTCGGGAGAGGGCGGTGCCGATAACACCAAGGCCACGGGTTCAGATCCCTATATAGGGATGGCCGGTTAGCTCACTTGGGAGAGCGTGGTGCTGACAACACCAAGTCAAGGGTTAAGATCCCCTTACCAGTCATCTTACAACATGAGTGTATGCCAGAGTGTCTGTGTCTTGGGCACAAAGGTTAATCTTTGAGTGAGTCACATGTGTGTGTGCATGTGCGTGTGTCTGAGGCAGGGTGACAGTAGAGGGTATTGGTGTTGGTCCACAAGTCCCCGAGTGGGTTAATTTAAATACTACTTTATTCTCTCTTTTTTCTTTTTCTTTTTTTTAAATACTAGTTTAATTTATAGTGTTAGTTGACTTTGTGAGTCTCGATGATTTGGCCTGTGAGGGAGTTAATTAGGACTATATCTCTGGCAGGGAGTGTATCATTTGACTCTCAGCTGGCTGCAGAGGGAGTGTCAGTCCGTCTGCCTGTCCCTGGATAGGCTGGATGTCAATCGATCCTGGTTATGTTAGTGTTCTGGGCAACAGCCATCCCACCAATTGTCAGGCATAAGAGTCAGTCCCTGGCTGTTTCAGGGAGTAAGGGCATCAGTCAGTCTGCCTGTCTGTCTTTGGATGTTTGTCAGGCTCAGATTATGTGTAGGGCTAGATGGCATCAGTCTGTCTGTCTCCAACTGGAATATATGTCTGCCAGTCTATGGTGGTATCACCTTGAGGTGATCCACGGGGAAAGGGGAAGAAGGCACTCATCTGTCTGCCTGTTTCTGGCTGAGCTGAGTGTTGTTCAGCCTCAAGCTGTATCAGAGAGAGAAGGCATCAGTTAGGCCATCTCTCTCTGGCTAAGACATGCCAGTCAGACCTCAGATCTATCATCAGTAGGAGTATTAGTTAGTCTACCTGCCATGGGTTGGGGTATGTCAGTCAGGTCCTGGCTTTGTCAGGGGACACCATGCAAAATGCCTGTCTCAGGCCGGCCCGTGGCTCACTCGGTAGAGTGCGGTGCTGATAACACCAAGGCCACGGGTTCGGATCCTATATAGGGATGGCTGATTTGCTCACTGGCTGAGCGTGGTGCTGACAACACCAAGCCAAGGGTTGAGATCCCCTTACCGGTCATCTTTAAAAAAAAAAAAAATGTCTGTCTCTGGCTGTTGAAACATATTAGTTAGACTCCAGATCTATGGAGGAAGGGCAGCAGCAAGAACAACTGTGTCTGGCCGGGATATCTGTCAATGGGACCCTGGTTCTAGAAGGGAGGCAGTCAGACCAGCCGTGTTTGGCTAGGGTACTGGCAAGTGAGGGCTTGTCATACTCACCTGGTGCTGCCGATACAGCAGGGGGACAGTGAATAAACTGATCACTCCTGCAGGAACAGAGATGCGGGTCAGGGTTCTCCCAGGCAATTAACAGTTCCATCTGGAGCCCTGGCCCCCACCAAACACCAACAAGCCGCCCCCACCAAACACCAACAAGCCACCCCACCAACCTTGCCCTCCACAGCCTTCCCAGCTTACCCAGAATGAGAAGAGTCAAACCATTGAAGATTGCACCCACGAAGGTCAAGATGTAGAACAGGAGGGCCAGCTGAGGATGAGGGTCAGGGTCAGCACAGCCTGCAGGCTGTGAACTCACCCAGCAATGGCCCTCCCACCCCCCAGGGACACAGAGCTGAATGTTGGAAATACAGGAGGGGGTGGGGGCTTCAGGGCACCTTGAGGGAATCCACGAGGTCTTCTACCAGGAAGAAATGCCGCAGCTGGGTGGCCATAGAGATCACATAGGAGGCAATCTGCTGGGACAAACGTTCTGTCTGCTCGCGAGTCAGGGTCAGGTCCACATCCAGGTAGGCCCTGAAGGGAGAAAGAGGTATGGGGCTACTCAGTGGGTGGATGGAGCTCAATCCAGTGGGGGGAAGGGGGGTGGCTGAAATAAGGGCAAGAAATGGGGGTAGGGGAAAAGACCAGAGTTAGGATTGAGCAACAATTCAAGGGAACCACTTATGAGAGCTGGGATCAAGAGAAGGGATCAAGAATTAAGGGTACAGGTTAGAATCAGAGATTAGGGTTGGGGGTCAGAGGTCAGAACCTGGTTTAAAGTCAGAGTCAGGGACATGTTAGAGGATCAGTACGCAAAAGGAGCAGGATGGGCTAAGGCCAGGGTGAGTTAGTGCCTGATTTGAGGTTACAGGTTATGACTTAGGGTCAGTGCTGGGGTCTGGACAGAGGTTAGGGTCAGGGGCCAGGGGTTCTCACTGGAAGGGGTTGGCTCCATCCCCGCGGTGCACGGCCTGCAGCACTTTGCGGTAAACCCTGAGAGAGATGGTGCCACAGAGCAGCAACAGTGCCACATGGGCGGCCACAGACACGATGCTAAAGTGCAGGAGGCAGAGGAGGGAGACCATGAGGCCTGTGAAGACCACTCCTGATGTCCTTGTGTCCTTCCAGTACAGCAGGTCCGCCACTGTGGAGGAGGGGAAGGCATCAGGCTGGGGCTTGGACCTGACCTGGCTGACACCTTAACATTCCATTTCCTGTCCCATGGTTGAACCATGACTTCACAACACGTCTGTTTGAGTCTTAACCTGATTTCCAATTCTTAGCATCTTCTTTTCCTCCATGCTTGCTTGCCTTCTTCTCACCTGGAAAACCCAAGTTAACCATCTAGCAAGTTCCCTTACTCTTACTCCTGCCCATATAATTATGTGCAGACACACAAATATATACCCATGCTTCTTGGGTGTTGTTTATGAAAAATGAAATTATAGCGCTGGCTGGTTAGCTCATTTGCTTAGAATATGGACCAAGGTCCAGGGTTCAATCCCTATACTAACCAGCTGCCAAAAAAAAAAATATTATATATATGAGAGTATTTCAAAAAGTTCATGGAAAAATAAAACTAAAAAATAATACAAATCTTTCCATGAACTTTTTGAAGACTCCTCATGTGTGTGTATACATATGTATACACACACACACACACACTCTTCTGCATTATGCATATCTCACTCCACTTTTCCTCCTAGAATTCCCTTCTATTCTTAGTTAACTGGAATAGCTCAATTCTTCCTTTTTTAAGCGCCACATGATATTCAGTAGAGTGGCTGTGCCATCGTTCATTTGATTTACCCATGCACCTATTACTGGGTCCTTTGTTTTGTTTCCTAACCCCTTCCTCCAAAACAGGGCTGTAAGCAACACCCTTCTACAGATGTTCTTGCCTCCTGGAGGTCCTGTTTCTTTTTTTCTTTTTCTTTTTTTTTTTAAAAGATGACCGGTAAGGGGATCTTAACCCTTGACTTGGTGTTGTCAGCACCACGCTCAGCCAGTGAGCAAATCAGCCATCCCTATATAGGATCTGAACCCGTGGCCTTGGTGTTATCAGCACCGCACTCTACCGAGTGAGCCACGGGCCGGCCTGAGACAGGCATTTTGCATGGTGTCCCCTGACAAAGCCAGGACCTGACTGACATACCCCAACCCATGGCAGGTAGACTAACTAATACTCCTACTGATGATAGATCTGAGGTCTGACTGGCATGTCTTAGCCGTCCTGTTTCTGAGATAGAATCCCAGGGGCGGAATTGCTGGGTAGACTGGTTATGCTTTTTATTTTTTTTAATGTCATAAATTTGTCAGATTGCTTACTAGTAAGTCTATAACAATTCTTTATTTCCATGAGCAACACGAAAGTGATCTTTTCCGAACATCCTGCCCAGCAATGGCTGTTATGGTTCTTTTAAATTTTTGCCAACCTGACCCGTGTAAAGTGATCTCTCCAAGATAACCTTACCAACACATTTGTGTAAGTCCTAACCGTATTAATAACACCATCCTCCTTTTTAAGCCCTAACTCAAAATTCTGACCCCTTTCTGAGACCCTAAACTCACCTCCCAAGCCCAACCTGAGCCCTGACCAGTGGCCTCCGGACACCAGCCTTTCATCTCATCTAAACTTTAATAATCCTCTCCTTTGAGCCCTGAACCAGGAGCTCAGTACTCCCCTATTTCCTTTCAGACCCTCTCCATCCTTCCAGCCTCACTCCAATCAAACTGATCCACCAGGGTCCCCCTTAGAGACTGACCTCCATCACTTCTCTATACCCCTATACACATCCCCCCATTTACCACTAAACAGGGCAGCCCCACTACCTCCCCAAGGCAGGCGGCGCCAGTGGGTGGGGGAGGGGCCGGGTCGCCTGAGGCGGGGGCTAAGTTTAGGCACGCTGGGGGAGGGGGCCTCGCCCGCAGCTGTGCTGGCTCATCCAGCCCCTGAGTGACAGTGCCGCCTGGGCCTGAGGCGGGGGGAGGGGGCCTCTCTGCTCCTGGGCCCCAGAGCCTTGGCTAGGAGGAGAAGGGACCCCATGCCTCCTCCACCCCTCCCTAAACGCCCCCTCAGTCCCCTTAGCCCCAGCCTGCAGCGCTGGGGAATGTAAGACCGATAGGAAACATCCCCCAGATTTGAGAGGCATCAAAGCGAAACTGAACTCCTTTCTGCCGTCCCCCCAGCACCAGTCCAGCCCGCCGCACAAGCCCACCTTTACTCCCCATCTTGGCTCCAAGTGAGAGGCTGAGGACACCGCTGCTTCTAGGGGATTTTGTCCACTTCAGTAGAACCCGGAGAAGAGAGTACGGGGGCGGGGCCCCTTTGTACCCAGCCAATGGCTGTCCATAGAGGTGGGGACAATTCCAAAGTTGGAACTTTCTTTGTAAACAGCCAAAAGCACTGATGTCTATAGCCGACTCATTCCTAGAGGCGGAGCATATTTTAAAGTAAAGCTGGGCCGATAGGTGTGGTCAGGGAAGAGAAGAGTTTTAGGAGGCGTAGAGTTTACTTGTAAATGTGCCCGGCCACGTCCCGAGAGAGCCTTATGTTTTCAGGGATTTGGTCCTGTCCAGAATCACCCTCTAGGGGGAGCACTCCAGAAGAGGGAGGATTAATTTTTGGCAATCGGCAAATCCTAATGCTTGAAGGAGGCCTAACTTCTCCAGTGGGCGGGCAACTGTATAGAAAGAGACGATAGTAATTTCAGATAACAGGGAAGTCTTTTATAGGGCGGGGCTTATAATGTCTGGCCAGTAGCAATACCTCCCTTCTCTAATACCTCCTCCCTTCTCTACTATCCTCTGTTCCTTTGCTAGGTCGGTCCCTTTTTTTTTTTTTTTTTTTTTTTTTTAAAGATGACTGGTAAGGGGATCTTAAGCCTTGATTTGGTGTTATCAGCACCACGCTCTCCCAAGTGAGCCACGGCCAGCCCGGAGGATTGGAATTTAAAGGGACCAACCTAGGGCCGGCCCTGGCTCACTTGGGAGAGTGTGGTGCTGATAACACCAAGGCCACGGGTTCAGATCCCTATGTGGGGATGGCCCCGGTTAGCTCACTTGGGAGAGTGTGGTGATGACACCAGCAAGTCAAGTCAAGGGTTAAGATCCCCTTACCGGTTGGTTGAATGAATGAATGAATAAACAAATCAGTCAATCAATCAATCAATCAATTCCACTCCTCCCTTCACAAACTCACCTAAAAGGTGTGGCTCCAATGTAAGTTCTGATTGGTCCGTGCTATCGAGGCACTGTCCCGTGATTGGCTCCCGCTCCAGCAGCCCCCAGGGTTCTTCCTCGTCGAGCCTGGGCTGATCAGGACCAGAGTTCGAATCTTGGTATCGGGGTGGGGACGGGGTACGGGCCTGGGAGGTTCCAGAGCCCGGGCTGGGCTGGGGAGTCAAGACCTTGGGTGGCGAGGTCTGAGCAAGTCGAAGTTGTAGGTCCAGTTCTGGCGTGGTAGAGAGAGAGGGCCGTGAGCTTTCTCCTTGGAGGTGTCCCGAGGAGAGAGCACCCACCCCTCATGGCTTTGGTCCTGGTACCACATCTCACCTTCCCCAGCCTCTCCTGCCTCTGATGCGTCGGGCTCCTCGTCTTCCAGAGGGGTGGAACTGCTGGTGGCGGAATCCTCTCCGGATCCCGCTCCCCGGGCCGCCCAGCCCAGCTGGTCTAGCCGGAGCCTCAGGTCCTCGAGGGGCCGCTCAGCCTGAGGGGCAGTGTCGGGGTCACTGCCGCGTCCCGGCTCTGGGGATTGGCTCAGGCTGGGGATGCTCTCCAAGCTGTCGCCCAGGCCGGGCTGAGGGGGTTGGTCTCGTGGTTCCGAGACTGAGCGGCCTTGGGGCCGGGGGCGGCGGGCAGCTGAATCCCTGCGCCCCCCGGAGCCCACTACGCCATCGAAGGCGATGTAGGAGAAGGTCAGCTCCCGGGGGGTGCCCCAGTCCTGCGACGTGGTCTCCTCGTCGTCCTCCGAGAATTCCCGGGCTGTGTGCAGCTCCCGAAAATCTGAGTCGTCGTTCCCTCCTGCAGTGGGTAAAGGAGGGCCCTGAGCTTCTCTGAGCCTGACACCCAGCCCTGACCTCCCTTCAAGTCCCATCCTCACATCCTCCCCCACCACTTACCTTCTGTGGAATCAGGGGTAGAGGAGGCTGTAGAAGGAGCTTCTTCTGTGAGAGGGAAAGAATCGAAGACTCTTAGAAGCTTAGACTGCCCGAATCACAGAACTGTGCCAGTCCTAGAATCTTGGATGGTCCGAATTAAGGAATTTTAGAATATTTGAATCACAATACCTTTAGAACATGCTACACACAGACTGTAAAACCTTAGCATCACTGTCATCAGGAGCTCAGAGTCTTAGAAGTTCAAATCTAGGAATATTAATCTTAGAGCCTTCAAATTAGGAATCTCGGGAGGTTCCAATTCATTTATTCGTTCAACAACCATTTATTGAACAAATACTATGTGCCAGGCACTATTCTAGACTCTGTGATACAGCTGTGAACAAAACAGACTAAATCCCTGCCCTTGTAGAGCTTACACTCTATGAGAGAGATAGACAATAAATAAGTAAATATATAATGTTGGGTGCTGATACGTGTGTGGAGAAAAATAAAAGCAGATTAAGGGAAGAGAAAGTGAAGGGGTGCTGTTTCAGACAGGTTGATCAGGAAGGCTTTTCTGATAAGATGACATTTGAGCAGAAAACTGAATGAAGTGAGTAAGCCATGTGCATGTCTAGGGAAGAGTCCTTCAGGCAGAGGGGAAAGCCAGTGCAAAGGCCCTGAGGCAGGTACTATGCTTGGCATGGTTTAAGAACAGAGAGGTGTGAAGATGTGACTGGAGCAGAATGACTGAGGGGGAAGCGGTGGGAGATGAGAACAGAGAGGTAAGGTGGGCAGACCAGCAGGGCTCGCTTTGAACTTCGAAATACAAGTACAAAGGGAGATCCTAGAATATTGGGATAATACTCTAAAATGCTGAAATCACAAATTCTTAGAATTTTGGCATCTGGACACCCTAGACATTAAAGTGGCTAGATCTGAGATTGCTGAAATCCCCAGCTGTCAGAACCACCCTGTGTGGGACAGAGAATGGTAGACATGGACTGCTAGAGCTGTGAGCTCAGAATTTGTGAGGATCAGACCAGTCGTTTTCAAGTGGGAATTCAGCCCTCAGAGCTAGCTTGGGGATTTGCACACAGTAGATGCTCAATTCTGCTTGGAAATTGAAATCGGACACCCCTCGCCCCCATCTGGTTTCCACGGCTTGGGAATCGGAGGCTTGGAGTGGAGTGGCTCTTCCCCAAGGTTATCACTAATCAGTGGTAAATCTCATTAAGGACCCAGGAGTCCTGTTCTCAACTCAGGGATGGCTGTTTTCTGGGGACAGGGGGGTGGACAATTTGGGCGAGGTCGGGGCTGCCTCTTGGGCAGAAAACGGGGATGAAATGTGAAGACGAGTGATGGGGAGTCAGAACCCTCTTCTCTATCCTGGCTCTACCCCTTCATTCGGCCCCTTCCCTGCCAGCTGCAGCCAGCACCAGGGCCAGGGGACAGCTCCCCGCGGACATCCTCATTCTCGGGCGGGGCCGGGCGGCACATCCCAGCTCCTAGCGCGCCCCCCGCCATCTCTCTCAGTGCCCCTCACCTCTACCCTGTTTCACCCGGTCCTCTGGGTCCGGATGCCCCTGTCGCCACCAGAGCGCGGGGGGAGGGGAGCGCTTCCTTTGTCTCCTTCGCCTCCTCCCCCGATCCCGGCTCTCCCGCGGCCCAACGCGGAGGGGATACCGAGGAGGACCCCACCAGGGCCTCTGGGCCCCACACCAGACTAGAGCCTCCCTCTACTCACTGCAGTGGGCGAAGACCGGCAGGACCTGCCCCATGGCCCCCCTCGGGCCTGCATCAGGACCCCCGCCCACTCCGGCCGCGCCGCCCTGGGCCCGGGGCCGCGGGAGCTCATCTCCGCCGCGCCCACGACGCTGCCGCCATCCTCGCCGCCTCCTCAAAAAAA